TTCTGACATATTAACACGAGATTTACATTTTAAAGTATATTATTTGTCTCAGGCAGTACATGTTTACTATCAACAATGTATGGACAATTCTTTGGTGGTGTCGTTCTTGTTAAGTGCCATTGAGTCAGTTCCGATTCATAGCAACCCTATGTACAACGGAACAAAACACATCCTGGTCCTGCACCATCCTCTTCATTGTTCGCATGTTTGTGTCCATGGTTGTGGATGCAAGTATCAATCCACCCCTCCATGTTACCAAGTATGATGTCCTTCTCCAAGGACGAAAGTACATGACATGAAATCTCACCATTGTTGCCTATAAGGAGCATTCTGGCTGTACTTCTTCCAAGACACAGTTGTTTGTTCTTTTGGCAGTCCATGGTACTTTCAACATTCATGGTACTTTTCAACAATCAAATGCATTGATTCGTCTTCAGCTTTCCTTGTTCAATGTCCAATTTTCACATGCATATGAGACCATTGAAAATAGCCTGAATTGGGTCAGGTCACCTAGTTCTCAAAGTAATATCCTTGCTTTCAACACTTTAAAGAGGCCTTGTGCAGCATCGTTTGATCTCTTGGCTGCTGCTTCCATGGACATTGACTGTAAACTCAAGCAAGATGAAATCCTCGACAACTTCAATCTCCTCTCTGTTTATCATGATGTTACCTATTGCTCCAGTTTGAGGATTTTGGTCTTCTTTACATAGAGTTGTAACCCATACTGAAGGTTGCAATCCTTGGTCTTCATCAACAAGTATTTCAAATCCTCCTCACTTTCAGTAAGCAAGGTTGTACCATCTGCACATCTCAGGTTGTTAATAAGCCTTTCTCCAATCCTGATGTCACATTCTTCTTAATACAATCTAATTCTCCGATTATTTATTCAGCATACAGAGTAAATATATAGGAGGATACAACTCTGATGCACATGTTTCCTGATTTTAAACTATGTAGCATTCCCTTGTTCTATTAGAAAGACAGCCTCTTGACCCACGTACAGGTTCTGCATGAGCACCATGAAGGGTTGTGGAGTTATCTTTCTTCCCAAGACTATCCATAGCTTTTTTTATAATCTACATAGTGGAATAACTTTGCATAGTCAATGAAACACAGGTAAACATCTTTCTGGTCTTTTTTGTTTTCAATGCAACACAAACTGTTAGGTTTTTGTACTGTGGTGGCTTGTGTGAACAGGTTTCAGCAGAGCTTCCAGACTAAGAATAGGCATTGTTTGGTAGCCTTTTAAACTGTATGTACAGTACTGTCACCATTTGTATAGCACTGTGGACCATCCATCTACTTTCACGTAGTAAAGCCATCACCAACCCCTCCACATTTTTCAGTCCATCAAATCTGCCTGATGTTCCCTCCCTCAAGAGCCAAACCTTACATCCTACATCTTGATTTTAATCCCCAGGTTATTCCCCTGTCTATGGCGTTGTTTGCTCACTGCTACCTTTCCTCGCTTCCTCCTTCTCCTGGGGGTGTTGGAGCAACAGCAATCTAGCTGAGAGGATTTACTAAGCAGCAGAAGAAGGGCGAGTGT